GTCAATTTATGATTGTAGCCGTTTCTGTATTACAAGGCTTAGCTCCCAGTAAAGAAACCAAAAGAGACCAATGTTTTGCAAAATCACACTTCCAGGATGCATCACTTCATACAAATACCCTGTAAAAATAGTAGTTTGTGGCACATGCCCATTTCTTCCATTTCAGAATTATACAGGTCTCCTTTTGAAGGCTGCCAATGGGAAAGCAGCTGCCCATTAAACTCCAGAGATAGAAAACGTAGATGGGCACTATATGTCCTACAGGCCACGAAAGGGTTAAACTCTTTTTACTTCTTCTCTGAGGTCCCATATGCTTCCGGAGTGGACTGAATGACTTTCCCAAGGTCACACAAAGAGTAGGTGACAAAACACTTGAGACTACACATCCTAATACAGAGAGGGGTGGAGTCTTTTTTGGCCTTTGCAGCCTGCCCAGCCCCCTTCTAGAATCCCTATGCCCTGCCCAGCCCGCCAGAATCTGTGATCCTTTTGTTGGGATGAGATTGAATTCCCCAGGACTCCCGCCCAAACCTGGCCAGCAACTCCAGTAATCAGAGCTGTGTGAGAAGAAAAAGCCAGGCCATTGGGACAGCCACACCCCAAACAGGTGAGGTCTCAGGTGAATCATGCCAATAAGGGAGCCACAGCTCATCCCCAACCCTGCCTCACCAAGGACCCAGGACACTGGCCTCATAGCCCCAGACTATCCTCTCCTTTCATCTTGGCCCACTCCTCCTCCCCCACCCATCAGGTGTCCTGGAGCTAGGGCACCTGCCTTCTACCCCTATTCTGGACCTTCAGACCTATGAGATGCTCACAGAGTTCTGGGTGGGGCCTCAGGCTCCCTACTTCCTCTTTCCAGGCCCGATCCTCTCAGATTCCCAGAGATGGGCTCCAGCCAGGGAGGGTGGGGCTGTTCGTGATACCATCAGGAGTGGCGGGTTGCCTAGGTAGTGACAGAGCTGTGGCGGGAGCAGAACCATCCCTGTGCCTCCAGCTGACTCTAAAGTGCCATGTCCCAGCACCTGCTCCTGCTCCTCCTTGTGATCCCTGGTAACTCTGGGGGATAGCAGATGACAGACAGCTATGGGCCTACGTCCTAGCATCTGGGGAGCTGGAAACCAGGACTCCTGGGTTCCGGGTGAGGGGTGGGGTGTCAAAATGGAGAGGAGAGTGGAGTATCAGAGGAGGACATGGAGTTGGTCTCAGAAAAGGGAGCTAAGTGAGGCATCAGGAGGTGGGGAATGGAGAAGCAATAAAGCTGAAGGAAAGGAGTCATCGAGCTCACACATTACAGATGGGTCACCAGATTTCTGCTTCCTTCTGTCTTCCCAGTCAGTAGTTCCACCTCAAGAGCCTTCCAGGATGAAGGTAAGACAGCCGGGACCCAGCTGTGAACACAGGAAGATAGGAGGGGTAGCGTGGGTGCTGGCAGCGGGGCTGAGAGGGCAGGACATTGAGGAAGAGGGAGGTAAGGGAACTAGAGAGCAAGAAGATGAGGACTGGGCAGTGGGAGATGGAATGTGCAGTCACCAGGTTTTCCTCTCTTTTCCTCTTTGATTCCCAGCTGTGAGTCCTACCCAAGAAGAGCCTGAAGATCTGGGTAAGGAAGAGGCCTGGGGGTCCTCAAACCCTAAAGAAAGTTACAGATGGCTAGGCAATGAGGGAAGGAGTCCTGGTGTCTCAGCTGTGAAGAGCTCACCTGCTAACTGAAAACTCTACAGTTCAAATCCTATCATCTGCTCCAGTAAAAAATGTTGTTGCCATTAAGTACCATCCAGTCGGTCCCCACCCATAGTGACCCTGTATAGAGTAGCCAAGGAACGGCTGGTGGGTTTGAACTGCCAACCTTGTAGTCCAGCACATTATCCTGCAGCTCCAGGTTCTATTCTGTCATATAGAGTCTTACGAGGGAGGCAGAATGAATCAGAAACAAAGACGTTCCTTCCCAGAGGGTCCTCTTTGGTCTTCGTTCAAATGGGGAAAACAATGTGGAGTCTGGCGGTGGGGGTGAGGGGGACAGGGCTTTGTCCAGAGTTACCTGGACCCCTGGGGTGGTGGAGAGTGGGCTATGACTCTCAGGATTTCTCACTGCAGACTGTGGGCTCCCAGAGCCCTCTGCCCGCATCATAGGAGGCTCAGATGCACGACCAGGCACCTGGCCATGGCAGGTGAGCCTGCATCAGAGTGGGGGGCACGTCTGCGGGGGCTCCCTCATCGCTCCCTCCTGGGTTCTTTCTGCTGCCCACTGTTTTGTGGAGTGAGTATCTCCCTGCTTAGTCCCTCCCCTGCAAAAGCCAAGTCGAGCCCTCAGCTAAACCCCATCTCCTCAAAGATGCCTTGAAAAACCTTTCCCTTCCTGGCCCCAAAGTCAGTGCTTTGCTGGAAAGCGTGGTTCTGAGTGGGGCTGGGGCGGCCATCAGACTTCATCCCACCTCCACAAATCCAATCCTGAATCCCATCTTTTCAACTCTGTCTCCACCTCCTAGTCAGAATCATTCCTCTGCCTTTGTGAGCCTATCTCAATCTCTGTGTTGTTGTTGTTAAGTGCCGTAGAAACCCATTGGAATAGGGTTTCCAAGGAGCGACTGGTGAGTTTGAACCACCGACCTTGTGGTTCAAACAGGCCTTGCGGTCCAGTGCTTTTACTATTTGTTGTTGTTGTTAAGTGCCGTCGAGTCGGTTCCGACCCATAGCGACCCTGTACAGGGTTTCCAAGGGTGTAAATCCTTACCGGAGTAGAAAGCCTCATCTTTCTCCTATAGCAACCTCTAAATACCCAACCTCCGATCTATACTAACCGACCTCGCCTCGTTTGGTTTTGAGCCCTTACCTCCACGAGGGCCTGCCCCCTCCATAAGGTCAACCTAACCCGACCCGCCTTGGCGCAGGAACGGGACCTTAGAGCCCGCAGCCCAGTGGTCGGTTCTACTGGGTGTACACTCCCAGGATGGGCCCCTGGACGGTGCGCACGTCCGCGCAGTGGCCGCCATCCTGGTGCCGGAAAACTACAGAAACGTGGAACTGGGCGCCGATTTGGCCCTGCTTCGCCTGACCGCGCCTGCCAGACTGGGTCCTGCGGTGCGACCCGTCTGCCTGCCGCGCGCCTCGCACCGCTTGGCTCACGGCACCGCTTGCTGGGCCACCGGCTGGGGGGACATCCAGGAGGCGGGTGAGTGAGTATGGCAGGGCTTCAGGGCGGGATCTCGGAGAGGTGCAGAGCGGTCCTCAAGGAGGGGGGCGAGGGGGCGTGTCCTGAAAACAGAGCCCTGGAGGGACAGGACTAGAGGGCAGGCTGGGAGGGCGGGTACCGGGCACCTCCTGTAAATCCCACACGTCTCTGTCTCTGTAGGGTCCTCTTCCCTAGGGGTTGTTGCTGAGTTATTCCCACCCATTTCCTCCTCAGCCCTCTCTTTCTTCCTTCTAAATTCGCCTGAATTTAGGGTCGGACTCGGATTGCCATCCCAGCTCTGCTTTTTCAGAGGAAACACTTAGACCTCGCTCAGTTCATTTCTTCATGCGTAAAATGAAGAAAATAGTAGTACCCACTTCATGCGTTTGTTGGATGGATTAAACAGGAAAATCCACGCAGAGTTTATAGCATAGTGTGAACAATAGGAATAATGACTGTATTAGATATTTTACCTTAGACAATCAGTGTTCAAGCCCATAGTAGGTGTTCAGCAAACGTCTGCTCTGCTCGCCTTTCCTCCACCCTATGTCCCCCCACCCCCCACCTCCTGTCTTCTCTCTATTCAATCACACTCAATCAGTCATTCATTCAGTCATCTGTTTGTTCGATTCAACAGATATTTCTGATGAGCAAGGCACTATGTAAGGCATTGGAGATACATCAGTGAACGTAACAAATAAAAACCTCTGCCTTCTCAGAGCTTACATCCTAGTAGGTATCTTAGATATATTTGCTTATTTATGATTCCAATAAATAAGCAAACCCTCATTAGACGATGTGGAGAGGAAATTGATCACAGTCCTCCACATTTCCTTTCCCCATCATCCAATGCTAGCAAGGCCGTCACAGTGACTTCACATAGGCTGTGACTAGACATGTGCTAGCTAGGCTTTGGGGAGGGTGACCCAGGAGATGTTCTGCTGGGACCTCAGGTCATTGTGAAATCTGGGAACACTCTTTGGGCCACACCCAAAGCAAGAGATTTCTGGTGATTTTGAGAAAAGAGGACAAAAGCTTGCAGAAAGGTAGAGGGAAATGAAGGTCATGCTGAGGACCCAGATGAAGCATATTAGATGAAGTAGGACCAGTCTGCCTAGCTGAAGTGAAGATGTTGTTGTTGTTAAGTGTTATCAAGTCAGTTCCCTCTCATAGTGACCCTGTATAGGGTTTACAAGGAGCAACTGGTGAGTTTGAACCACTGACCTTGTGGTTAGCAGTCTAGAGGTTGCAAAAGTTGCTAAGGCTGGACCACATAGGTCTTAAGATCAGATTGAGGGTCAGAGGACTCCACCAGGTCCAGAGGCCCCCAGATAATCCCGAAACCTTCCTAGTTGGCCCCCAGGTACAGCCTCAGCCACCACCTGAGCTCTTGGGATTCTGAGTGGGAAGGACAGATTTCCCCACACGTTCTCCCAACCCCTTTCTAGATCCTGAGACTTAACATTCTTATCAGATCAGATTCACTGCAGGAAAATAGCTAAAGCCCCAGGTTTAGACAGTGGGATCCAGTTCCTCTGGTAAAATCAGAGCTGACATTTAGGAACATTCCTCTGGCAGCAGCAAGTGAAGGGGCTATTTATTGGGAGAGGGACCAGCGAGGAGGTTGGGATAGCATCTAAGGCCAGGGCTGGAGTAGTAGCAGTGGGAATGCCAAGAAGGCATACAAGGTCTTTAGGACTGGGGAATTTATTGGGCAGTGAGGATTAAAAGAAGAATCAGGGATTATGTCCAGATTCCAAGTTAGGTAATTTGGTAAAAGGTCACACCTAATATATATGACATTTTGTAGAAAAGGATGCCCTCTCTAGACCAATGCAACCCCATATCAGGGCTCTAGGCTTGATGATTTCTGCCCCCATACGTACCTTTTATTGCCAGGGGCCTTTATGTAGTACCTAGCCTGCATAACCATCCATGGGAGCTCTCACTTGATGCTTGGTGGGACTGTTCTGATATAAAGATGTAGAAAGAAGGACAGAGGCAGGAGAAGATAACTCTTTTGGATGGGGTGGGTTGAGGTGTCTGGAAGCAACTAGAGGGGACAAAGCTGAGCCTTTGGGAGCTGGGGTCTCCATTCCTGCCTCAAAGTCTCTGTTCTCTGACTCTGCTCCCTAGCTCCTCTGCCATTACCCTGGACACTACAGCAAGTGGAATTAAAACTGCTGGGAGAAGCTGCTTGTCAATGTCTCTACAACCGGCCTGGCCCCTTCAACCTCACCTTCCAGCTATTGCCAGGGATGCTGTGTGCTGGCTACCCAGAGGGCCGTAGAGACACTTGCCAGGTGAGGGGAGGCCCTGGAACCTGCCCCAATCTACAAAAAGAAGGCAAGCATGCCAATTGATGGGACTGACCTGAGGATGATGAATGGACAGAACCTAGGGCTTAACAAGTGGGCACTGTTATTTAAGGTAGGAGCTCTGGTAGCGTAGTGGTTACAAATAGGGCTGCGAACCGCAAGGTTAGCAGTTCAAAACTACCAGCTGTTCCGCAGGAGAAAGATGAGGCGTTCTGCTCAGAAACCCTGTACAAGGTCGCTATGAGTCGGAACTGACTCCATGGCACACAGCCACCAAGGATTTAAAGCCTTGAATACCTTATACAGGGTTGCTAAAAGTCGTAAGTGACTTGGTGGCACACAACCAAACTAATGCAATAGTTTTGGTGTCCTGGTGTGGTGCTGTGGGTTAATGCATTGGACTGTAAGGTCAGTTTGGACCACAAGGTTGGTGGTTCAAACTCACCAGCCATTCCTTGGAAACCCTATGCAGGGTCGCTATGAGTTAGAACTGACTCAAAGGCGCTAACAACAATAATGCAATAGTTGGGACTCCTGGTGTGGCATTGTAGGATCAGCACTGAACTGTGAACCACAAGGTCAGCAGTTCAAACCCACCAGTTGCTTCTCAGAAACCCTATACAGGGTCGCTATGAGTGGGCACCAACTCGATAGTACTTAACAACAACAATGCAGTAATTAAGTACCAGATTCTAAAATGGAATGACTCTAGTTAGAAGCTCAGTACCACCACTTATTAATTGTGTTACTTTGGTCACGTTACTTTACCTCCCTCTGCCCAAATTACCTCATCTGAAAGCTGGAAATAATAATGTTTCCCATCTCATAGAGCTCTTATGAGGATTAAATGAGATCACACTTAGAACAATGCCTGGATCTTAATAAGAGTTAAATATGTATTAGCTATTAATAATAATAAGTGCCCCCCCCCATCTCAGCTCATAACACAGCACCTATTATTTAGTAGATTGTCAATAAACGGTTGTTGAAAACCAAATGAATCCTTCACAGAAGGGAATTTTGCAAATAACCTACTGTAGGCCAAAACATAGTATATTTTAACCATTCCCCCCAGAAACTTTCTCCAAATTAAATGCATTTTTAGAGGCTTCAGTAGTGCCTGGTGGTAGTAAGGAGTCAAGCTGGATGGTCTTCAGGCTCCCTCCCAATTCTGAGGTCCCAAAACTCATTGACATAGTCCCCCTGCTTTCTTGAACTGGGTTACAAAGCGCTGTCCAAGAACCTTCTGTGATGATGTAAATAGTCCAGTATCTACGCTATCTAGTTCAGCAGCCACATTTAGCTGCTGAGCATTTGACATGTACTTAGTGTGTCTTAGGGACTGAATTTGTAAATTCAAATTTAATGGGTTTAAATGACCATATGTGGACATATTAGGCAACACAGTTCTAGAAGGCTCGGAGTCCTCTTTGTGACCCTCGGATAGTCTTGGCCTGGATTATAGATGCCTTAGGGACAGTGACTTGGTGTCCCCAGAACCATTGTTCAGGGTGTGTTCATCATAGGTCTGCTTCATAGATTCCTTGCTTTCAAACTGTCCTTTCTTGTTACTCTTAGCTTGCCTATTTCTAACAGCCTCTTGCTCTGGAATGACATAATTTCTGATTTAAGGTCATTATTTTAAATTGGATGAATTTAGAAAACCCCAAACAGGGTTTGTTTGAAGTATTTATTGATCAAGAATCATTTGGTTCTGAGTGAAGCCCGCTCCCTTGTATGACCTTTAATGTTTGAGCCTGGTGCCTTTGACTTCGGTTTGTGTAGAGCTGTAGGGAATACAGAGCTGGCACCATCCAAAGATGGTTACAGGTAGATTCCCCAAGTCACATGGCTGATCCACAAGCCACATGCAGCCAGCAAGAGGTGAAAAGCCCTATTATAAGATATTTGGGTCTCTGAACTGATCCTCCTGACATGCAGACATGTGTCTATCATCAGGGTGACTCTGGGGGGCCCTTGGTCTATGAGGAAGGTGGACGCTGGTTCCAGGTGGGAATCACCAGCTTTGGCTTTGGCTGTGGACGGAGGAACCGACCAGGAATCTTCACTGCTGTGGCTCCCTATGAGGCATGGATCCGCGAACAAGTAAAGGGTTCAAAACCCGGACCTGCCTTTCTTGCCCAGCCCCAAGAACCCCAGCCAGGTTCCCCGGAGCCCACAGAGGAGAACTGCACCATTGCCCTGCCAGGTGAGGGAGCAGGATCCTTGGATGTGTGCTGGAGTTAGAAGATTTGAGTTGGGGTGGAACTTGCTAGAAGTAATCTTAGAGGCAGGAGGTCTCTGACCCAGATTTCTCATCCCTCAGCTTGCGGGAAGGCCCCTCGGCCAGGAGCCTGGCCTTGGGAGACCCGGGTGATAGTGCCCGGTTTCAGACCCTGCCATGGGGCGCTGGTTTCCGAGAGCTGGGTCTTGGCACCTGCCAGCTGCTTTCCAGAGTGAGTGAGAACCCTCAATGGCCCGGAGACATCACTAGCTGATCCTAGCCTTTCCCCCTGGGGATGCCGAGTCCCAAATGGAAGGCGCTGGATTCAGCACGGACAGAGGAGTCCTGGTGGTGGAAGGGAGAGGGACAGTGCAAATAAAATCCAGTGTACGGTCACTATAGGTCACTATAAGCCTCGTTCCTTGCTTTCAACTGTCCTTAAAGCTAAGCCTGAGTGTACAAGTCAGGGGAGTCGGGAGGGCTGTGGGAGCCTGTCTGGGATACAAGATCCTAGCCTAGACATAGAGTCTAATTAGTAAGTAGGCCCAGGATTCGGGATTTGATGCCTTCCCATCCAATAGCCTTAACGGCCCAGACAACCAGTCCCGCGACCTTGACGCCTGGCGAGTGCTGCTGCCCTCGAATACGCGCGCGGAGCGAGTAACTCGATACGTGCCGCACGAAAACGCCTCGTGGGACGACGGCTCAGACCTGGCGCTGCTGCAGCTGCGCGCACCCGTGAACCTAAGTGTGGTCCCTCGGCCCGTGTGCCTACCCTACCCGGAACACTATTTCCTGCCCGGGAGCCGCTGTCGCCTGGCCCGTTGGGGCCGCGAGGGTGAGCAGGGTTTCATAGCAAGGTGGCCGGGGCCGGGGTCGCGGAGGAGACTGCCCCAGCACAGGGTGCACCTACTTCCCATTGCAGAGCCCACATCCAGCCGTGGTGCGCTGCTGGAAGCGGAGCTGTTGAGCGGCTGGTGGTGTCAATGCCTCTACGGCGGCCAGGGGGCGTCAGTGCCGCCGCCCGGCGACCCGCCACCCGCGCTCTGCCCAGTCTACCAGGAGGAGGAGGAGGCGGGCCGCTGTTGGGTGAGCAGTGGGGGCGGAGCCTGTAGGAGGAGTGGAGTACCCTACGAGGGGGTGGGGGCAGGGCTGGAGAACGGAACGCGACGGAGGCGGAGCCGGCGGGGTGGGCGGGACTGGCCCTGGAAGATTTGTGGGCGGGGACTGAGTGGTGGATGGGTTTCATCACTGTCCCTGGGCTTAAAGAATCCTGAACTCTTATTATATATACCAAATTTAAACAAAAGTCGATTCCGACTCATAGTGATCCTGTGTAGGGTTTCCAAGACTGTAAACCTTCAATGGAACAGACAACTACATCTTCTTATGACCAAGTACGGAAGAGTCTGAGCCCAGGAAAATTAAAGCAACTCTCTACACTTTTGCTGCAGAACAACTCTCGATGGAGCCTTCTGTGTCGGGAAGCAGGAACCTGGTTCTTGGCTGGCATCAGAGAACCCTCCAGTGGCTGCCTACGTCCGCGAGCCTTCTCCCCTCTGCAGCCTCACAGCCCATGGATCAGTCATGCGACTCGGGGAGCCTACCTGGAAGACCAGCTGGCCTGGGACTGGGGCCCTGAAGGGAGAGAGACAGAGACACAGACTTGTCCCCCACACACAGAGCATGGTGGTGAGGAATGGGGTTCAGGGGCCCATGAAAAGCATATAAACCCATGACAGTGGGGGCGTTTACGCAAGGGTTCCTAAGAGTACTCAGATCCATGGCGGGGGTCCATGTAGATGTCACCAAACTGGTCATCTCTTCTCTATAGCATGTGGCCTGCGACCAGAGACTTCTCAGATGGGGGCCCTATGGCCATGGCTGGCAGAGGTGCACGTAGCTGGTGACCAAGTTTGCACTGGGATCCTAGTGGCCCCAGGCTGGGTCTTGGCAGCCACTCATTGTGTCCTCAGGTGAGCCTCACCCATTTCCTGGAAGGAAAAACTGAGGTGGACCAAACAACTCTTAGAACGGTGGGGCCTTCTCCCTTTAGGACTTTACAACATAGGTGCACAGTGTTTTAAAACAGGCAAATACGGGGGCGGAGGAATAATGACGGAGTTAGTGAAGTGACCAAGAGATTCATTCCTCCCTTCTGCTTGGGCTGGGAAGGACTTTACCATTAATGTGGGGAATAGGAAATGACATGGCCTGGCCTTGTTCCAACAGACTGGGCTCTACAACGGTGCCCTATATCCAAGTGTACCTGGGCCGGGCAGGGGCCAGTCCCCTCCCACAGGGTCACCAGGTGTCACGCTTGGTCATCAGCATCCGCCTGCCTCAACACCTGGGACTCCGGCCCCCTCTGGCCCTTTTGGAACTGAGCTCCCGGGTGGAACCCTCCCCATCAGCTCTGCCTGTCTGCCTCCACTCAGGAGGCATCCCTCTGGGGGCCAGTTGCTGGGTGCTGGGCTGGAAGGATCCCCAGGACCGAGGTGAGTGGAGAGGACAGGGACCAGAACCCAGGGTCCTGAGGTGGCGAGGGTGACCGGAGGCCAGGGTCCCAGGAACCCCCTTCTTTTCTCGTTCTAGTCCCCGTGGCTGCTGCTGTCTCCATCCTGACCCCACGACTCTGTCACTGCCTCTATGAGGGCCCTCTGCCTCTGGAGACTCTCTGTGTCCTATATACAGAGGGGCAGAAGGACAAATGTGAGGTACAGGGGCCTGGGCATACTGGTCCAGGGAGGGAACAAGCAGTACTGGGCATTTGGACTCTAGAGACACTAGGATTGAGTTCTTGGGTTGTTCTTGTTAAGTGCCTTTGAGCCAGTTGCAGCTCATGGCAACCCTGTATAGGATTTCTGAGGCTATAAATCTTTGCGGGAAAAGAAAGCCTCAGCTTGGGTATTAGGCCCCAGATAGGTAGAAATAGTGCTTGGTGGGTAGACCTTGGAAGACCAAGGACCACAATGTCTAAGGATGGAGGAGACAAGCAGTGCTTGAGCCTAGAAGGAGGTACAAAGGACCTGGACAAAGTCTTAACAGACCTCTTTGACAGGTGACCTCGGGACCCCCACTTCTGTGCCACACTGAAGGAGGCTCCTGGATTCTCATGGGCATGGCTATTCGAGGGAGTCAGGAGCTGTTTGCTGCCGTTGGACCTGAAGAAACCTGGATCTCCCAGACAGTGGGAGAGGCCTACTTCCTGCCCCCAAGTGGCTCTCCCAACTGGCCTCCTGAGGGCAGTGACCTCTGTCCTCCAGACATGGCCAGGGCCTCAGGTCCCCCTAGGGCTGCTTTCTTCCTGCTGCTGCTCATCTGCCTGATCCAGTGCTGACCAGCTAGCTCCTTCTACCCCTTCTCCATCACCGGAATGCAACCCAACCTTGAAAGCACTCTGCCCACCAAGGTACCTTCAGCTAATTGGGCCTTGGTGCCCAGCTATTTTGGGCCCAGGAATCCTTGGGGGTGGCAAAAGGAGTGACAATAAAGGTGTAAACACTGACATGTGGTTTGTGGCATCTCTGTGAGCAAGCTGAAAAGGCCAGAACATCCTGGGCTAGGGGGAAGCCCAAGAAATCGGTCCCTCCCTCTTGAGGCCTCTTATGAGTCAGACCTTGGGCTCCCAGGAAATGTGTACTTGATAACGTGGCAGGGTCCCTCATTCCTGCCTCAGGCGGGGGAGGTTGGGCAGCCAGCTGGTGTGTGTCACCTTCTCAGTGCAACCAGTATCCACAGTGCGTGCTGGACACCTCAGCCCAAGCTTGGACCCTGTTGCCCTACCCCCCAGAGTGGAAAGGAATCCAGCATCTACTGCCATATTGTGTATGAGAAGGAGCCCCTCCACACACACAGCCTGCTGACTGATCCTTCAGATGTACACCTTGTTGTCCCCCATCCACACAGGATGCTTTGTACCCTCCAAGGGTCCTGCCCAGTGTCCCCACAATTTGATTCCCATCAAGTGTCCCTGAGCTTCTGCTTACCCATGAATCTCCCCATAGTCCTTTACCCAATATTCCCTGCCAACTACTGGCACCGTTGGATCCGATCTATGACTCCCAATCTAGTGAGGAACAGATATTGACTTTCCTAGTGGGGGCAGGAGACCAGAAAGATGTCACGGAGGAGGATGTGACTGAGCACCGATAAGGAGCAACACCTTTTCAGCTCATCTCTAAAGGCACTTTCTTGAGGAGCTTTTATGATGCCAGCTCCTATAAATTCACTCCCAAAGCACCCCGCCTCCATTCTTGTCCAGTTCTTAATTTGTAATTATTCTATAATTGTATGATTATTTGCTTCAAGTCTGTCGCTCCCACTTGCCATGAGCTCAGGGAGGGGCAGTGTCTGTTTTGTTCCTGGGTAGAACATAGATGGCACTCCGTAAATATTTGTGGGATGATTGGCACTGTCAAACACGCTCATGTGGCTATAGAAGAGGCTGAAGGCATTACAGAAAGGGCTTGAAATGGTCCTGGCCTGGGGCAACTCTGGTGTCCCAGGCTCAGATACCTATGCCAGGCCTAAGGAGGAAGGGAGGAGCAGCTGTGGTCCTTTGATAATGAAGGTTGGGACAGGCCCGGCAGGGCATAACTGATCTGGGATATCTGGGGGACTTGGGGGACCTGGGAATACATTGAAATTGGGTCCCACATCATTAGACTTTCCAGCCCTAAGGATGACCACCTGGAGGTGTTCCAGCCAGGCAATGCCCTACCACACACACACACACACACACACATACACACACACACACTCCCTATTAGCAGGAAGCTGAGTGGGGAGGGCGGGGCCAAGGGAGGAGCCGACAGGTAAGTGCCTTCCCCTAGGAGCCGCCACTCCTGGGAAGGCTCTTCGTGCCCAAGCTCTGCCGGAGAGACTGCCTTCACTGCTAGCTTCAGAGATCCGAGGCATCTCCCTCGGAGCCAGGTCCCTGCCTTCGAAGCCAGCCTTCGACATCCTGCCTCCCTTCCGGCCTAGATTCCACGATCCCTTCCCTCTCAATCTGGCCTCTGGGTCCTACCTTCAAAACCTGCCTCAGAACCTGGGTCCCTTCTCTCAGGTGCCCTTGTTCTGGGCCATGGCCCAGAGGGCAGGTCTGAGGCCTGGGCTGCTGAATGCTTGGGTCATTCTGCTCCTGCTTGGATTATTCAGATCCGGGATGGGTGAGTCTATACCAGGGGAGGGGAGAGTTGGGAGCTGTGAGGAGGGGGAAATGCTGAGCCGAGGGAAAGTGGGCATAACAGTTTTCTGGGGTACATTACTAGTTGGCTCAAGAACCCCTAGCTTCAGAGAGAGCTCAGGGCACCTGGGTTTGCCTGCTTATCCCTCCTTTCTGCTTCTCTTCTGGGTTGACTGGGCTGGAAGGGGAGAGATTAGCAGGGGAGTAGGGGAGAGCTGGGAAAACAGGACATGGATTCTGATTTTCCTGGTTCAAGGAGCACCTGACCATCTGTTAGGTTGTCTTAAAAAGCCACTGTTGTTGATTCCGACTCATCGTGACGCTATTGGAAAGAGTAGAATGGCTTCAGAATGTTTTGGAGACTTATCTTTCTTCGAGAGAAGCGAATGTTACATTTGAACTTTGCTCTTTGGGTTCGCAGCCCAACACTTAACCTAGTGCCTCACCAGGGCGCTTTAGACTGTTTTACCTACCCACAGTCTCTCGTTTCAATCGTCCTGTAATGTAGCTCTGAGCGGGATTATAAACTCAACCCAAATTGACAGGCCTTGAATCAATTCTGACTCACGGTGACCCTATAAGAGCTTAGGGCTGCTCCCTAGGATTTCCAAGACTGTGCATAGATCTTTACAGACCCAAACGGCCACATCTTTCTGGGAGCTACTAATGACTTCAAACCACCACCTGTTGATTAGCAGCTGGCCACTTTAACCACAGGAGCTCTGGTAGTGTAGTGGGCTGCAGTTCAAAACTACCAGCTGTTCTGCGGGAGAAAGATGAGGCTTTCTGCTCCTGTAAAGATTTACAGCCTCGGAAACTCTGTACAGGGTCGCTATGGGTCGGAACCGACTCCACTGCACTTTACAACAACAGCAGCAGGATTCCATGAGGGGGCTTATGGACTAAAGGACCCCCTAGTGGTATTGTGGGTTAAGTGCTGAGCTGACTAAAGGATCCCTAGTGGTGGTGTGGGTTAAGTACTGAGCTGTTAACCAAAGGTTAACAGTTCAAACCCACTAACTGTTCCAAGGGAGAACGATGCGGCTGCCTGCTCCCGTACCTGGTCTCCGATGCCCTGGAGGGTGGCTATGAGTCAGACTCATCGATGGCAGTTGGTTTGGTTTTTTAATTTTTAATTTTTTTATGAACAAGCTGTGGAGAAGGGATACACCCAAGGCCACTCAACCAGTAAATGATATAGCTGGATTTGAACTCAAATGTGACTCTCGAGGTCATTTTGATAAGAACAAGCCAAAGGTCTTTCCTCAAAGGTACACAAAGGTACACTATCTAGCTCTGGAGTGAGACAGGTGTTTAGACCTGGTTTTGCCACTGACCAAGTCCCTTCACCTTTCCAAACTTCAGTTCCTCCTTCCTAAAATGGCTTCTGTCTGTCTCCTGGGGCTGTTGTGAGGGTTCACAGATAAAGTGAAGGCCCCTTCATGATCTGATGCTATGTTGTTGTCATTGTTGTTGTTGTTAAGTGCCACTGAGTTGGTTCCAACTCAGAGCAACCCTGTGTAGGGGTTCCAAGGAGCGTCTGGTAAATATTCACTAAATAATAGCTTCATTATGAGAGGAGTCCTGAAGGCACAGTGGTTAAGTGCTTGACTGTTATGGAAAACGTTGATGGTTCGAACCCACCAGCTACTCCACAGGAGAAAGCTATCCCAATCTGCTTCCAGGAAGATTGACAGCCTTAGACACCCTATAAGACAGCTCACCGAGGCAGCTACGAGTCGGGAGCGACTCAAGGGCAGTGGGTTTCATTTGGTTTGGTCATTAGGAGAGAGCTCAGGAGTCTGGTTGGGCAGTTTTTGCTACTCCTTGGAAGGTGACTTTGTGAAGGGCAGATGTTGTTTTTAAGTGCCATTGAGTGGGTTCTGACTCAGTGCAACCCTGTGTAGGGTTTCCAAGGAGTGACTGGTGGGTTTGAACCGCCCACCTTGAGGTTAGGAGTCCAGTGCTTATCCAACAGCACCACACTAGAATAAACAACATTGACCTCAATGGGTGAGGCGCTGGATGTTCACACCGTAGGAGCCTGGTTCATGTGTCTGAACAAATATTCTGTACACATCCATGGCTCCATCTGTGCACCCAGCCTATGCTGAATACTGGAGACATGGGAATCTGATTTGGTCCCTGCCCCTGGTGTGGCACCATGGGATAAAACACTGAACCACAAAATCAGTTCGAACCGCAGGGTCAGTGGTTCAAACTCCCCAGACACTCCTTGGAAACCCTATACAGGGTTGCTATGGGTCAGAACCGACTGGACAGCACTTGCCAACCACTTAGGAAGGCCCAGGTTGATGTGGTTGAGACAGACATGGTCACAGACACTGAAGCAGTTGCATTACTGAGCAGAATTAGAGGGAAGCACAAGGGTCTTCGAAGCTCAGAGGCAACATCTAACTCAGCCAGCAAAATCCAGGCAGCCTTCCAAGGGCTGGCATTTAAAGAGTCTCCACAGGCAAATAAGAGTTTGCCACGCAGAGGGGGCAAGGTTACAGGTATTCTAAGCAGAATGGTCTGGTCCAGAGGTGAGTTAAGTGTGTGGCCCAAAGGGAAGGCCAAAGTAGATGGCAGTGACAACAGCGGCCTGCTTTTAAAGGTAGTGTGGAGCCACAGAAGGAATTAAGCAAGGGACTTGGTTAAGGTTCAGTTTAGGAAAATCTTCCCAAATTTGTTTGGAGTGGATTGGATGGAGGATGGCAAGGGGGCAGAACTGACCGTGCCTGCCTTGGTGAGTCATGGGATGGGGACAATGGGGCGGTTGGCATCTGTGAGCTGACTTCCCAATTTCTACACTAGCTCTCTGTCCTGAGTAGCAGGGCCAAGCCTAACCCCCTTCTCTTTCTCCCTGGCCAGCCTCCTGCGGGATAGCCCCCCAAGCACGCATCACCGGCGGAAGTAATGCAGCCCCTGGTCAGTGGCCCTGGCAAGTCAGCATCACCTACAATGGCATCCACGTGTGTGGTGGCTCCCTGGTGTCTGAGCAGTGGGTACTATCAGCTGCTCACTGCTTCCCCAGGTACCAGATGGGAGTAAAGGGAAAGGCCCTACAGGTCAAAAGTGGGCTGGAGGTCAGAGAGCGAGTCAATCCAGGTCAGAAGTTGGGAGTTCTTGGGCTGGGTCTGGGAGTACCAATCAAACCTGAAAGGATGATGGAGTTCCGAGGATGAAGGGACAGGCTGCAGTCTGGGGCCTACAAGGTCCTCTGAGATCCAGATCTGGGGCTGGGTGCCATAGGAAGCAGACCAAGATTGCCCGAGTTCCACCCTTTGTACCTCTGCCTGCAGGGAGCACAGCAGGGTCGACTATGAGGTAAGGCTGGGCGCTCACCAGCTAGACTCCTACAGTCCTGATACTGAGGTCCGTACCCTGGCATTCATCACCACCCACAACAGCTACCTCCAGGAGGGCTCCCAGGGTGACATCGCACTCCTCCGCCTCAATAAGCCTGTCAACTTTTCCCGCTCTATCCGGCCCATCTGCCTCCCCGCTGCCAACACCTCCTTCCCCAATGGCTTCCATTGTTCAGTCACTGGATGGGGCCATGTGGCCCCCTCAGGTGAGGTGGGGGCATTGGATGCCTCAAGGCAGGGAGGGCACCCTGATTCAAGGCAGGGATCCTGGGTAAGTATCTTTTGCCCCTACAGTCAGCCTGCAGGCCCCCAAGCCACTGCAACAACTCGAGGTGCCCCTGATCAGTCGTGAGACCTGTAATTGCCTGTACAACATCAACGCCAAGCCCGAGGAGCCGCATTTCATTCAGCAGGACATGCTGTGTGCCGGCTACGTGCAGGGGGGCAAGGATGCCTGTCAGGTAAACGGACAGGCCCAGGGAGCTGACAAGTGTATCCGGGGAGGTGAGGGTGGGCATAGAAGACAGAAGGCCCAGGGTCTGCTGTTGACGGCTATTGTCCAACTCTTCTCCTCAGGGTGACTCTGGGGGCCCGCTCTCCTGTTCTGTGAAGGGCCTCTGGTACCTAGCCGGCATTGTAAGCTGGGGTGATGCCTGTGGGGCCCCCAATAGGCCTGGTGTATACACTCAGACCTCCAGCTACACCTCCTGGATCCAGTACCATGCGGCCGATCTCCAGTCCCATGTGGTACCGCAAACTGAAGAGTCCCAGCCTGATGACAAACTCTGCAGAGACCATGTGGACTTCAACTCTGCCCCAAGTCAGAGGTGCTCACTGGGGTCCATTCTTCTGCTGCTGGGCCTGTCCCTGGGCCTCCTCTGCCCATAGCAGGAGCACTGAGTTGCTGACTTCAGTTGATGCTGCTGGCAGCTTGCGGCCAGGACTGACGTAAACTCAAGGACAGAAGCCTGTTCCCAAGAATGGACCTGACCTTTCCCTGCTGCCTTCTGGGCCTGGGGCCTGATCTGAGCCCCTCCTTCCTTCTAGGGCCCCATGGGAAGCCAGGGGACCATCCTTACCTTTGAGCCTATTCTGGGTTTGCTCTTGGGGACTACAACCCAGTCAAGAGTATTGCTGCCTATGGTTTCGGCTAGAACCAACCTTTGGCCCTTACAATTAGCTGCTCACCTGCTTATAAGCCTCTTGGTTGGACTCCTATGGAGCCCCCACGGAACCTTAACTATGAATATGGGACTGGATCCTCACTCCGTTTCTAGAAGACCAGGCAGTAGCCCCACTGATGCTGCTGAAGGACTGGCTCCCAGTGCCCACACTTGTCCTACCGGACAAGCAACTAATTTACTGCACCTGCTTCCTGCCTTCTGGGCCTGGGCTGCCTCTGGGCAGCTCATTTCCAAGGACAGGACAAGCACCTATCTTGCCTGTACACTCCATGCCCCCACCTTGAGCCCTAACTCCTGGACTCCGAAGGACTGAGCCCCCCTCGGAACTGGGCTGGGGCTTGGCTCTGGGAAAGGGAGAGTATGTGGGGAACAAGGAGTAAAATGTCGTAAGCACAACTTATTATGTGTGAGGGGAATGAAGAGCTTCAGCTCTTGGCTCCTCCCTCTCGCCACCAAAGTCCAGACAACAGCCACCCACAGAACTGACTTTATTTAAAAAATGATCCATGAACAAATAAGTCTGTACATCTATTTACAGGATAGGGGCCAGGAGGCATGAGTCCAACAGCAGGGGGCACCGGCCACTCACTTCTTGGAGAGTTTGACTTGCTTGTGCTTGGGGGGTGCCCACTTGAGGCAGACAGAGTCCACTGTGGGGAGAAGGGGAACAGAGAGGAGGCTGGGCCTCCAGGGGCCAGGCTGCCTCCCACCTGGCTGTGCTGCTCTGGGCCCAGGCCAGGTTTCACCTCCTCCAGGTGAGAACAAAAGGGCAGATTGAGTCCTGGGCAGGGGCAGAAAGCCCAGGAATGACTAGTCTGCCCCAGGCTCCAGTCCTCAGAGCTGGTCTAACTGGTTTGGGATCATGTGACAGCAAAAAAGGAGGCCTTGGCTTGGGCAGTTTTAACACAGCAGCGCATGCGCGCGCACACACACACACATACACACACACACAGCAGCAGCCCCCCCACCCACCTGTGATGGGTGGTTTCTTATACTGGGCACTTTTGAGGTGTTCCTCCACCAGCTTGGGCGTGACACAGATCACATGCTGACCCTTCCAGTACTTGACCATGTTGAGGGACTGTAGAGTACTGATGATGTCATTCTGAGTGATGCTGGTCATCTGGCTGAGGAAGGGGATTAGAACAGGGCTAAAGAAAGTTCCCCTTGTGGGGTCAGGCTGGGATAAGACAAGAGGAGGAGACTGGGAGCTGGCCAATCTTAGGGTGCCTCCCTCACAAGATCCTAGATGGACAGCATGCCCTGTCTTGGCTGGGGGCTAGGACCCTCACCTAAGGTCCTTAATGGACAGTGTGCCCCGGAAGTCTCGGAGGATCTCCAGCAGGACCCAGGACCAGTAGCTGCGATAGCTGAGCTTGCCTAAGTCAGACAACGGCTTCTCCGGGGAACCTACCGTACTCTCCAGCTTGGACAGCTCATAACCTGGAAATGTTCAACAAGAAGATCCTAAGGGCCCTACCCTGGAACCCCCCACCCCACTACCCCACCTGTCCCCTTCCTGGATAGCCCAGGAGCCACTCACTAAAAGCGATAAGGAACTTCCCATAGCCGCGACGCTGGTAAGGAGGCAGGGTAAGGATGCAAGCCACATTGTTGCCATCTGGGGACTCCTTCTCCTACAAGGGGACAGGTGGTCAGGGCCTCTGCGGACACTCAGCCCCACTCCCCCAATGTGGGTTTCCTGGTCTAGCACCTTAGAGAAGTAGCCGACGATATGGGCCCCTTGCCTGTCCACCTCAGTCAAAATGTAAAAGACGAAAGGCTCCACGTCGAAGTACAGCGTCTTGTGGTCCAGAAAAAGCTTGGCCAGCAGACACAGGTTCTGACAGTAAATCTGAGGGGCAGGGAAGGTGGGAGCAGGCTCAGAGTAAGTAGGACTCCCCTGCCGATTCCTGATCTGCGTGTGCCAGGTTCTGAGAACAGTCACTGCTAAGCCAGTAGGACGTGACCTCCTCACCAGAGCAATAGTTCTTAAGGTCAGGAAGAGCCTTAAAGAGAGCCTGCTTTTGGATGGACAGGAAAACTGAAAGCCAGGGAGTGGTAAGCACATAGGGAGGGAGGTAGAGCTGTACTGGTGGCTACCATTTCCCAAGCCAAGTCCTCCTTGCTACAGCTCACTGGGCCCAGTCTGGTCTGGCGAGGCTCTGGGAGGGCAAGTGTTTGCCTGAAGCCTCACAGCTGGTAGAATTGAGCCCAGGACCTAGTCTCCAGCTGGAGCCCTAGGCCTATCTGCCATTCCACTGGCTGGTGCTCAGATAGACAAGGCCAGGTTTCGAATGCTTATTCACTAAGCCCCAGGCTAACAGGTCACTAATCATAAAGGCCCATGTTTACTAAGCACCTGCTAGGTGCCAGACTCTGTGCTAAGTTCTTGACATTTGCTGTCTCAAGTATTCCACTAACAACCCTAGGAGGTAAATATTATGACTCCTGTTTATAGATGAGGAAACAGGAACAGAATTGTTAAGGAACTTGCCCAAGGTCAGCTAGGAAGTGACTGGACAATTTGAAGCCAGGCAGTCACTTTTCAGCTGACATTCCAGGGTCCTTCCAGGGACACCACTGGGATACTTGATGAGAGCTTTCCAGACTGACCAGGCAAAGGGTAAATTCAAAGACAGCAAAGCAGCCCCCAAGGCTCCCATCCACTCTTCCTGTCTGGGAACAAAGAACCCAGCCCATCCTAACCACAGAGCTGAGAGGAAGTCTCCACACATAACAGTTCCCATCCAGCCCTAAATAAACATTTTTCCTTGGGCAGAAAGAGAAAGCCTTTCTACAAGCAGCCTCAGGCCAAGCTGTCTCCCCTGAGCTCCAGAACTAACCCCAGCTGGAGAAAATTCCACAGATCTGCACCAGAAGCCCTGCCCCCACATCTGGCACCACAGGGACATGGGTTGTTAATGCACCAACCACAGGCCAGGCGCCAGGCTAAGGAAGATCTCACCGGTGGCAGAGGCTCGCCCTTTGGTCAGGAATCTCCCCACTGCCCCAGCGCCCTTGGCCATTAGGCTCACCTTGTGGTCTTTGCCGTCTACTTCATACACAGAGATGTTGCTCTTGCGATAGATCTCTTTCCCTGGGGGCTGTCGCCACTGACACTGGCCCTGGGGGTGGGACAGGGCAGCCAGAGGCTTGACACTCAGGAGCTCTCCTAAATAGCCCAACTCCCTGCTCCCAGCCTGCTGTGTAGTCTGTGTCTCTGCTTCCCCATCCTCAACACCTCCCCTGCATGGACTAATCCTCCCAGGACTCCACAGCACTTAACCTTGACCACCGCCACCACCATCACCACCACCACCACCACCACCACCACGATGTCAGGAGAGTCCTGGTGTGGCTGCAGGATCAGCACTGGACTGCTAATCACAAGGTCGGCAGTTCAAACCCACTAGCCACTCCTTGAAAACCCTACCCAGTGTGACTGTGAGAACTGACTCGATGGCACTTCACCAGCACCACCACATGAGGAGAGGGCTGTGCTGGGCTGTGCTGAGAAGAACGGAGGCCCAGCACAGCTCTTGTGGCTGACCACCACACAGGTAGGAGGGTTTCAAGTCTGGTCTGGCTGGCTCGAGAGAGCTCCGGTAGGCTCTCATCCATGGCATGAGACCTTCCTTAACCACACCTGAGATTCTAGACTTTGGGAGAGAACACTCCTCCCACCTGTCTACACCTTCAGGCCCCTGTGCTCAGAACTGTGCCTGCTTCCTCCCTTGTACTGAGGAGCCTAGTGTTGGGTTGGCCTTGATTTGACCTTCGTATGATGAAGAACAGAGAACCCAAAGACAGGGCAGGGATGACCTACCCTGTTCTACAGGAGAGGGGCAATGAGTAAATCAGAGTCACTCAGCCAGCAAATGGCAGAGCAAGGTCTGAAATAGGTCTCTTGACCCCAGGGGCCAACTTTGCCAGGCACGAACACCCCTGGCTCTATCTCTACTTCTTGATGCTACCGGTACCACCTGCCTCTCTCAGCAGGCTCAGCCCTGCCTAGCCCAGACTGGCCCAGTCCAGGCTCACCAGGTGGAAGCGATAGCTCTTCTCATACTTCATGTACTTGAGGCAGTACTCGCAGAGCCAGAGCTTGGGCTGTTTCCCATAGTCCTCAGGGAACGGTGAGAAGTACCAGGCATCGATTTCATAGTTCCCAATGTGTATCTTGTCCACATACTTCACCTTGGTGATCTGTGAACGGGTGGAAGTGGGGCGCAGTGCCGGCTCAGTAGGAGCAAGGAAGGGGGAAGTACCCGCCGCTCGGACCCCTACCCCTTGCTCACCGCCTCATGCTCCTTCTCCAAGGCTGCTGTTGTAGGGTCCATCTCTGCATATGTCTGGACAAGGAGAGAGAAGTGGGCAGAGGTGAGTGGATGTGATGGCATGGCTATCCTCCCCGCCCCAGAATCCAGGTTCTCTCCTGTCATCCAGAGCTCCTCCTTTGAAGGATTATAAACACCATCCTGGTAGTTAGCTTTCTACCAGGTTCTGAGGACAGCCCAAGCTCTTTTCCTAACTGCCTGCCACCTATACATGCCAGATGTCCCTGGTGCCTAAAAAGTTAGGACGTTTTACCACATGAACAAAGCTAGGATCAGAAGACCCAGTATCAGTCCTTGGGTTGATATATAAAGGGATCCAGCTCTGCTGAAGTTGGGAGCCACAGATGAAATCATGGGCCTTCCATTCCCATGGCAGGAAGCCAGACTCCCAAATGTATGCCCTGGTGCTAGTGGGTCAGGACCACTTTCCTGAGCACCAGACCTGAGGAGCTACCTGCCCAGAGGTCCCTTCCAGTCACAACAGTCTCAAGCTGTCCAGAAAGGAATTCTTTTCTCCCCTCAAATCTGTTCTCTTCCTGGATTTCCCACCCCACTAGGGAACATCATCTTCTGTCCAACTGCCCCAAACAAATAACTGGATCTGGCGTTAGACTCTTCCTTCCTTCAGCTTGGCATGCAATGAGTGGCCAAGTCCTGTCAATTCTCTTTGACATCTTTGGAATTGGTCTTCTCCTCTGTCCCATCCCCATAAGGAGTGCAGTGGCTCCACAGAATAAGCACTGGACTTCATAGATTGGCAGTTTGTAGCCCACCAGCTGCTCCGTAGGAGAAAGACGCAGCTTTCTGCTCCCGTAGACTGACAGCCTCAGATACTCTACCCAGGGCAGCTAGGAACCAGAACCAACTTGACAGCCACTGCCACTATCTTGGGTCTGCACAATTAGCCCCTCAAATCGAACTGCTGTCAACTCAGTATCTGACCTTCCTACCTTTACACAGGCAGTCTCTTCAACTCTGAAGGCTTTTCCTCCTCAGCGGAGTTCCTGAGGGGCAGGACTTTGCTACCTCTAATCATTTCAGGTACTCTTTCTTATCCTTCAAGATCCAGCACCTCTCCCGTCCCCTCCAGGTCTGACTGGATTCGTCCTACCCAGAATGAACCACCTCCTTTCCAATACAGGAGCACAGTGGTCAGGAATGTAATATCCTCTGACAATCCTCACATGGTCTCCCCTCCTCTCCAAGACCCTAGGAAGCAGGAACTAAATGTCATGTTATACTCATGGCACATCCCGTCCCATGGCCAAACTATGTAGAAGAACCAAGTTGTCACCAAGTGAGAGCCACCCAAGAAGTACAAGGTCAGAGTAGACCTTGGGACTGCTCTGGATAAACAGCAGAGGAGCAAAAAGAGCAAGCACTTTGTCCAGAACCCCTCTACAAAGTACTCTGTGTGAATGGCCTCGTTTAACCCTCATGGAAACACTGAAATACAGCATTCTTACTTCTGTTTTACAGAGAAGTAAATAGGCAAGAGGAAGTGAGGTCACTTGCCTCTGGGGAGAGTTGACTTCCATTTAACCCAAGTGCCCAAAATTCTCTAGGCATTTTTTCATTTCATCCTCATAATGATCCTTTGAGACAAGAAATGCGCACTACCCTTATGGGACACAAGTGAAAACAGCAGCGCAGAGAAGTGAGGTCTCAGAACTCACATCAGCAGAGATGGGCCTGGGTCCCTAGTCTAACTTCGAGCCGAACCACTGCAAAGCTGCGGGAAAGATTTTCTACCTCACAGGCCTCTTCAAAATGCATTTCCCAACCCTCACAAAACACAGTACTCTCCAGCAAATGCATCACATAATTACAAAAACACTAGTTTTCTTAAATGCTGTTATTTATTTAGAATGAAATTTATTTAGAGTTAAACATTAATTAGGCTCAAAAGAACCTTGCTAATTAATTAGTAACTTGCTGATGGCTTTATTAGCCACTCTTTTGAGACTGAATTCTCCAATGCTAGCTAGCAGGGAACTACTAGGACAATGGATCCGTGCTGTCCGAAAGTCTCAAGTTCAACAGAGTAGCCACAGTCAACTGTGGCTGTTGAAATTAATTAAAATCAAATCCAATTTAAGTCTTAGTCACAAGACACATTTCAAATGCTCAAAGGTCACGTGGGGCTAGTGGTTCCTCTCCTGGGCAGCACAAGCAGTGAAAACGCCCGTCAGAGAAAGTCCTACTACAGAGTGCCACTCCTGACCTTGAAAGGGCCTCCTAACGCAGTAATTCAAATGTTGGTGGTGTTTTTTTTAACATAATCCACACTAAGTGCATCTGGCACTGAACTACAGTTGCCATGTTTTGAGTGTATATGGGCATGTACTTGTATGTACAGCAAAAATGTTTCACACAATACTTACCCTGCAAAGGTGCAATGCACTCAGATTTTCTATCTTATCCTGTTTCTTCCTTCCCTTTTTAAAAGTTAAATGCTCAGAGAATGAAATTGCATTGGATGAAACTGACCTCTCAATTTATTAAGAGCTTGATAAATCCTGCTGTGATTTGAATTCCCTATTAGACAGATCAAAAAACTGAGGATCTGAGTGAGGGCGAAGTAACCTGCCAGAGCAGACTAGTTTAGAGAAAGAGCCCAAGTTTTGGAGACAAATGGCCTAAGTTTCCAGTATTTGTTCCTCATGGTTAGGGTTGGGCTGGGAAGGTGGACTGCCAGAGTGCAAATCTAATTTCTAACAAGATAATCCTGAACAAGTTATTCAATTTATCTGTGCCTCTCCTGTAAAATGGGAAAAAGAATAACGCTACCACAGGACTGCTGTGAAATTTCAGTGAGTTCATGTATGTAAAACGCATAGCATCGACTTGGCTCACAAGCCAATAAACATTGGGCTCTATTAGTCCAATTCCAGTTCACCAATGAACGGTGTGACCTTGGGCATATGACTTCACCTCTCTTAGCTTGCGTCCTCACCTACCGAAAGAGATCGTTATCCTCATGGTGTTCAACTACTGAGGAGCATTTGATGAACTTAAATATGCACATTACAAGATGCTTGGCAAAAGCCAATGCCATATTACCATTCATTTTTCACCCTTCCTTTTGGACGTCAAGTTGATTCCTAAGGCGGCACAGTCAATAGGAGACAAAAGAGGCTATGGGTGTAGGGAGTTTCTGTTTCTGTCTGAGATATATCACTTGTTTGCTATGAGACTATAGCTAAGTCATTGCCCTCTCTAGGCCTCAGTTTTCTCATCTGTGAGGAATAAAGAGGGGAAAAGCAAGTAAAGGCCCTGACGCGCAAAAGGAGCTTAAGAAATGAGAGCTATTGTATGGTTTAGGCACCGGTGCCTGAGAGGCCCAAGGGAAGGGGAGGCAATCCAGACCTTCTGCACATGGTTGATCTCATCATGCTTGCGCTTTTGGTTTCGTGTGATCTTGCGTTCAGGCTGCTCGGCCAGCTCACTCAGGTACTTTTCAGAGTTCTTCTGCACAGCATCCTTTACTGTCTTGGTCAGCGCCAGTCGGTTCTTGTCTACCCATTCGTCCAGTCGCCGATTAACTGTGGAGATGGGCCATGAGGGTGCTGTCCTGCCAACCTACTCCTCCCACCCAGCCCTGGATGCCTCTAGACACTCACAGCCCACGTAGTGTACATAGAATTCCTCTCGGCCTTCTTGGTCATTTACTCGAGACTGGATCACTTCGGCAGAATCTATGAAGGAAAAAAGATGGAATCATCAGGAAAGAAAGGCTGGTCTGGGACTCAGTTACACACTACAAAGCAGTTCTCAGACTCTAGGGCCACATGCAACCTACCTTACTTGTCCACATCTGACATTTCCTTCAATCACTGTCACACAACCCCATGAAATGGCCCGGTGGGGGCAGTTAATATTTAGCTGAGTTTCAGTCTGACTCCAAATTCAGAACCTATTTTACTATAGGAGGGAGCTTCCAAAAATTCATGTGGAAACTTCATTATCATTTAATTTCATTTTCCCATGAATGTTCTGAAGCCCCCTCATTGTCACTCATTTGTTCAAGAGGTCTAAAAAGGCTGACTCTGGAATCAGACAACTTGAGCTGATATTCTAGCTCCTCCACTTCCCAGCTATAGTTAACTGAGCAAGTTATTTCTACTGAGTCTGTTTCTGTGTCTGTAACCAGAGATCATAGTGACCATTTTCAAGCGTGAACTCAGGTCTGTAAAGTTTTTAGCACAGCACAGGATGTTTGGTGAGTAAAGCAACTCCTGCATGTCTGGCCCTATGCTAGGGTGATGGCTACAGAGAACACAGTAATGAATCAGAACAGGGCCTATCTCCAACTTCCCACAAGTTCCCAGCTTGAGAAGGAAAAACACAGACAATTACGAAAGAATGCTATATATACCACAGCTGAGGTATGAAGAAAATGCTGTGGGTACATACAGAAGCCAACGCGTCACTTTGCCTGAAGGGAGTCAGGAATGTCATCACTGAGGATGTGACATTAAAGATGAGTAGGAGCTTGTCAGGTGAACAAGGAGAAAGGGAAATAAGAACATTCCAAGGAGAGGGCACAGGTGGTAAAACGTGTATGGTCTTCAGGGGACACAGCAGGTCTGACAGCGATCCTTTGGGGTGGCTAGAATCCTGAGAGCAAGTCATACCATTGATTGTCATTCTAAGGTGTTTGGGGATTATTTTGAAGATGGCAGAAAGGAAGGGAAGGGCAGCGAACGGAAGGGTAGGTTTTATGTTCTGGAAGGTCCTCTCTGCTAGTGGCTTGAAGATGGAAGACTCAGAGACCAGTGAAGAAGTGGCGGTTATGTGCTGTGGAGTCGTCCCTGTACAGGGTTTCTGAGGCTGTAAGTCCTTACGGGAGCAGAATGCCTCATCTTTGACCTGAGGAACAGCTGGTAGTTTCGAACTGCTGACCTTGAGGCTAGCAATCAGATTCGTAACCACGATGCTACCAGCGATTCTTGGCGAAGAAGTAAGATTAACAAGAAATAGAATGAAGCCTAAAACAGTGGCAAGAGAATGGGAGGGGCGCTCTCTATGCAATACGAAGGGGGCTGGCTGGTGGGGTCTGCAGTAGTCACCGCGGAAAGCGCCCAGGATTACCGAGCTGGCACACTCGGGTCTTCGGACTCCCAGTCACAAGTCCTCGATCCCTCCTAGATCCCGTCCTCAGACCCCGCCCCTTTGTCCTTTAAACCCCGGCCTGGGCCCCGCCCTCACGCCAGGTGCTATCCGGCCGGCGACACAGGTACGTTTCTCCGATCTCCACTGTGACTTCTGGCTCGCCGCGCGCGGGGGTCGGAGGAGAGACGCGGCCCGGGGACGGGGCTGTCCCCTCGACGGCCACATTCTCTCCGGGCCCGGGCTCGCTCTCGCCCGCGACTCCTGAAGTCGCCGCTACAACGGCCGCCGCTGCAGCTCCCGGCGCCGCCATCGCTGTGGCGGAAGTGACGCCAGAATGCGGCGCCGCGCGGCTCTTTAGCTCCGGGTCAAGCAAGGCGTGGTGTAGGCAACTGCGAGCTTCAAGGTAGGCTCTGTGACGTGGTGGGAGCTCATTGGCTTGCGTGGCTGCTTCCGCGGACCGGACCAAACTTAACGTTTACTGTGCGAGTTGCTTGTTAAGCCCGGAGTCGCTTCCGATCCTTAGCGTCCTGGTGTAGCATTTCCGAGGAGCTGCTGGTCAGGTCGAACCGTCGATTTTGCGGTTCACACCGACGTTCCACACTCATCTTCACACCGGGACACCGCGAGTTGCTTCAGAGTTCTTTATTTTTCCGTATGGAAATAGGGCTGCTCTTTCGAGTAGAAGAGAGGGGAGACTTTCTTCACCTGGCGACTCAGCTCCATCTTTCTGAAGGCCTCGGTGCCCGAAGAAAGCAAAATGTGGCAAATATCAGGGGCGCCGCCCCCAACTCCACTGGTGCCTGACCTCAGGGTCTGGAGAATGGCGCAGTAGGGTTCTCTTTAGGTTTCAGGCCTCCTCTAGCCGGGTCCTTTCTCCTCGGGTTGCCCACTTCCTCTAGCCTAACTCTATACTGTTGGCTGCCACGGAATCAGTTCAGAATCCCCTTGTACAACAGAGCCAAACGCTGCCAACCCCTGCGCATCTCGTTTAAGGTCTTCCTCTTTTTTGATGATCCTCAACCAAGCATGATGTCCTTCAGGGGCTGGTCCCATGTGATAAGCATGTCAAAGTCTGCGAGACTGTCTTGCCAGTCTATCTTCTAAGGCGCCCGATACTGTTAAGTGCCGTCCAGTTCTGACGCACAGTGACCCTGTAGAGTCTCCAAGATTGAATCTACGGGTGCAGAAAGCCTCATCTTTTTCCAGCAGTGTGGCTGGTGGGCTTGAACCGCTGACTTTGTGGTTCACAGTCCAGAGGTTATCCTCAAGGCTGCCGCACTCCCCAGGAGCCTAATACTGGTCACCACACCACACACACACCCTTTTTTTTTTTAAGATTCTGGATTCTTTTTTGCTCAGCTGGGAAGTAGATAACATTTAAGGAGGGAGAAGCAGAATGGATATGTCCGGGAAGAGCCAGTAAGTCACCTTCAGAGTAAAGCTTTTCTAAAGAAAGGCCCCACAAACCAAGCCTTTTCCCTGAACAGAAACTAGCCAAAGGTTTGAGTCAGGAATCCTGAAGTCTGACCCTGAGCTGGGCGGTGGTAGTTAGGTGATGATGTCAGGTCGGTTCCCGCTGGGTAGGATGTACAAATGTGTCTGTCCTCCCAGCATTGGTAAAGGGAACTAGATGTCCACACACCACATAACACAGGTGTTTCTGCCAGGCAGTTGTCATTGAGTTGATGCCGACTCGCGGCAGCCCCATGGGTCAGATTAGAACTGTGTTCCACAGGACTCTCAGGGCCAAGTTTAGGGAAGTAGTTGCCAGGGCTTTCTTCCTAGATGTCATTGGGTACACACAAAGCTTTCAGCATTTGAGCAGTTAACTATTTACACCACGCAGGCAGGATATAGGATGCTCAATAAACATCACCTCTGCTAATTCTCTGAACCTTCTTTGACTTAGAATTTGGTTTTTGGGCTTAGAAATAATTCTGAGGGGTGGGATGTTCAAGGCCTGGTGCTATGACTCAAAGCTTCCTGATCAAGGACTATGAGAGCTGAGGGTCCATGAAGGTGTCAGTGGAAGTGCTGGGACCTTGGCTTTTGGAAGTCTGGCAGTATAAGAAATAAGCAAAAAACAGGCAGCATTAAAATTCTAATCTTGACTTTCGCCAACCCCCTCCTGTCTTCAGGCTTGTTATTCCACCCACCCAGGGTCCTGGCGCCTCGCTTGCCTTAAGCGAACACATTCAGTTACTCCTGCTCTTTTCTCGTTAAATTAGCCTGGGCCTGACAAAGTCCTGCTTGGTCACTACATTGGCCTCCTTAGTCTCCAGTCCACAGGCCACCAGTAACTTTCCCAATCTGTAAATCTGACTGTACCTCCGATGACTGTGTAGGTGCTCTGCCAGGAGCCCTTGTCTTTGTTCTCTTCAGTTCCCTTCTGTGGTCTTCCAAAGGCCAGCACCTGAGGCTCTTTTTGGTGAACTGCCTGCCATTGGGCTAAAAGAACTATTCTGCCTGGAAATGCTGAAAAGGTAAGCTCTCAGCCTGGGAATTTTAGTGCATACTCTCTCCCAAAGAGCTTAGCTCTCTTATTTCTAACTCAGATTAATTTACTGGCTCTGGACTTTTGACTGAGACCTCATCCCTGCTTGGCTTCCTCCCCTCCCCATCCCTTCCCCTACTCCTTCCGGGTCTTTCTTGGGAAACTGTTCTTAACAGATCACTAGAACGGGAAGCCTCTCAGGGCCTGCTGCTAAGGAATATAACCAGAGACATCCCTTCTTAGCTTAAACCCTATTTCTGAATCCTCACTGTCTCCAGAATAAAGCCCAAGCTTCTTGGCTACAAATTTAAGGCCCTATGCCCACCCTCTGACTGCTGAGCTTTTCTCCAGCTTCACCCCCAATACTCCCTGCACTGCAGACAGTTTTACAGCCCAGAAAACCACTGGGTTTCCTACCACCTGCCATTTGACCTTCAGATACAATTCTTCTCTCAGTCCCCAAAGGAACCCTAGTGATGCTGTGGCTTAGGTGTTGCGCTGCTAACCATAAGGTCAGTGGTTCAAACTCGTCAGCTGCTCTGTGGAAGAAAGATGAGGCGGTCTGCTCCCATAAAGATCAATCTCGGAAACACACTGAGTCGGAATCAACCTGATGGCAGTAGGTTTTGGCTCAGTCCCCTAAACACCCATCACCTGGAAGGTAGGAAATGGGGTAGGCCTAGAGCCAGCCTCAGGCAGTGAGCTGTCAGAGTTCAGAGATGTCTTCACAAAATGACACAGAAGTTAGACTTCTCCTTAATCCTCTCAGACAAACCCTCAGGCCTTCCTTCTCCTTCTCTTTCAAGAGACTCCCACTTGAAACCCACTGGGAAGTTCTACTTCAAGTGTAATTTTGAGCCTCTCTGCTATCCTGGGCCATTTTCTTTTGCCCAGTTGGCTAGCTCCCTAGCAAGTCTCCACATTTCTCTGTCGGGGCCCCCAGTCCTTGCTGGGCCTGTCAGAAAACAACCTTGTGTGTTCCTTTCCTTGGCGGCAGGAGACACAGCTGGCAGGCAGTATTTTTAACTTTACTCAGGCTCAAGATCAGATGTCTCAGGAGGTTGCCCAATCTGGTAACCTTCACCTCTAGAACTCGTGACTGGCAGGAAAGGAAGAGCCAAGAATGGAGACCAGGGGCTGGGCCAGCCTGGGCCTTCAATATTGTTGAGAACCCATAAAAATTTTAAATAAAAGGTTACTGCACAAGCTGTCCAAGTCACTGCCACCCCCACCATCCACCAAATCAAATGTGCAAGAGACTTGAAGCCACTGCCACTTCCAGTCTGTCAGGACAGAGAGACTGGGGCAATCTGGATGGGGCCAGAAGCAAAAGCTTACCTGCCTTCCTCACACACAGGGCCCAAGAGGGCATTCCAAATGTGAACTTTAATAACAAACAGCAGGTCAGAGTGGGGGTGTCCCCCAGGAACGAGAATAATGGAGCTGGGGCTGGAGGCCTCAGGGGTCCTCATTTCCCACCTTCTAAGGCCTGAAGGCAGGGAAGTAGTGGACCCTACTGAGGGTGGGGGTGCCCAGTTCCACAGAAGTCCGTCTGTCTGGGGCCCTAAGACTCAAGATGCAGCCGCAAGTGGAGCAGGTAGGGCCCCTGCCTGGTCTAGAAGTTCCTAGCAAGGAATGTGACCCAGGCAGGGCAGGCAAGCAGGCCAAGGACTCTGGGGTCAGATGCGGAAGCTCTCCTCCCGGCCATCGATGTGGCGGAGCCGTAGGTAGACATCTGTGCCAATGCCCTGCAGGGACTGCAGCGTCAGGGAACCACCAAGGTACTCCGCGTAGGCCCGTGATGTGGGCAGCCCGAAGCCAAAGCTAAGAGTGGGCAGGGGATAGGATAGGAGGCTTCAGAGGCTTGAGTTCCCTGGGATCCCCCACCCCTCCATCCTGGCCAGGTGGGGTCTCACCCGTGCATGGGTCCTGATTGGACACTACTGAGCATGTCCAGGTGGCCAAAAAGAGGGCTGATCCGGGGGTCCTGGGTGCTGGCTTCAGCCGTAGTGAAGTGGTAGTTCATGACCCGATCCAGGTCTTTGTGAGTGATTCCCCCGCCCCGGTCTGATATCCTGGCAGGATGCCAACAACATGGACGTGGCTCAGCTTTGGCTCAGGCTCACCACCTCCCAGTAGACAGTACACAGTCAGCCTTCCTGTCCATTCCACCCAGAGGTAGAATGCTGGCCACCCAGACCCTTGAGCCTTGCTTGCAGAATTTCTTTTATCCATCCTCATTGGTGCCTGCTTACACCTTCTCACAAGACTTGACATTGCCTCTTGGCCCAGTGCCACACACTGCTTACTCCTGTTTCCCAACTCCAGACCCCCAAAGTTGTTGAGAGGGGCAGGGCCCAGAGACTTGCAGAAAGCCCCAGATTCATGGGACTCTCAGACCAGACTGTATATTGTGCAACCAGACACACCAAGTCTCAGAGGAGCAGAACTGCCTTGGGTCCTACAGTAAGTCAGAAGCAATGCCCACAACCTCTGTCCACCCCAGCCCAACTCCCACTCAGCACAAACCTGATGACAAGATCGATATCATTGTTGGCGATGGTTATGACCACATCTGGGACGTTGTAGGGAGTGTCTAGGTGACTCTCCATGGTAGCTCTATACAGGGGGAGGGAGGACAGACCCGGTAGGTGGTGGCACCCCAGTTCCTGCCTCCCTCACTCCCCTAGCATATCTGACCAACCCACCTCATGGCATTCTTGAGCAGCTCTGGCAGGATGTAGTCTAGTGGCATAGGGATGAAGGGGAACCGGGCAGCCACATGCCCATTGATGCGGACGCGGGGGGCATTGCCATACTTGTGCTCACACAGGCGTCTGTGGAAAGGATCAAGGGTTCAGATGGTACCACTCGATCAATGGTTCTCACCTAAGGGGTAAGTCTGCTCCCTCAGTAAAAAGAATTGAACAATTTCCTGAGACATTTTTGGTTATGACAACTGGGAAATTAGGGGGACGCTACTGACACCAAGTGGAATAGATGCCAGCGATGCGGGTAAGCACTGTAACATGCACAGGACAGACTCCCCTAGAAAAAGGATTATCTGACCCAAAACACCTTTAGTGTAAGGTTGAGAAACCCTGCCCTAAACCATGCATCAGGTAAAGGGCTCGGTCTCAAGCCTTTACTATCCCCAAGACCTCCACCCTCTTTGCTATTCTAGCCTTACCTGGCAAAGTCCACCCACTTTTCAATAATCTTCTTTGGTGAGAGGCGAGTGCAGATGATGCCAACAAAGTCAGGCTGGCAAAAAGAGAAGGGTTAGAACTAGGCAATGTCTCTACCCCCACATGCCTGCCAAATGCTTGCAAATTCTGGTTGCTGAAGCAGCCCAAACCTCTCCTTCAGGCCTTGATCCAAGTCCCTAGCCCAAAGGGGTCCCTTAACACTCCCAGTTGGGTCTCAGGTTCAAGTCCCCCCACCTTGTCCTCATGCAGTGCCAGGTGATGTGTAGCCAACATGCGGATCCCAAGCCGAGAAGTCAGCGTCTTGTCCAGGAAATAACGGACAATCTTCTCATCCTGGTAAAGCAGTGGGAACTCAGAATCTATGTGTCCCTCCCCAGCTCCCCACCAGGCCTAGGCCTCCATTGGCTGCCCCTGACCTGGATGTGCTTTCGGCTCTCACGCAGGCCCTCAGCTAGGAGGGTCACCACATCTTTGTGGTCATCCAACAACTGTCGAACCAGTTGGCAGTATTGGGCCTCTTCTGCCTGGTCCTTGATCTGCAAGCCACAAAGTTGTGAGCACATGTAGTTGGCTCTGACTGCTCCGCCCCTCTCCCCACCCTGGCCCAGCCCTCACCGGAGGGAAGTCTGTCAGCTTCTGGAATGCACGGATGTACAGCTCGTGCTACAAGGAAGAGGTGGAGAGTCAACAGGGCTGCCCATGGGATAGCCACCTATCCAATTCACTTGCTGAAACCCCAGCATGGCCTTTCAAGTTTGGGCCTGAGTGCTACTTGGCCCTGAAATCTTCTGGCAAGCAAGTCTCTGCTTCTCTACATCCAGACTCCCAGTTGCCTCCATGGATGTGGGCACACAAACCTAAGACCTTACCCCCTAGGATAACTCACATCTGAAGTCCACCTTACCACATGCAAAATGGTGGGGTTGCAGCCAATGATAAAAGGCAGGCTGCGGAAGCCCTTGATGCGGTGTGCGATCCTCACTGGCAGCTCTTGCTGTAGATACCGGGCACTTTTCTAGAAAAAAAGGGGGTGGAAAGGAGGTCCAAGGTCTGAGGAGCTGGGGCAGAGCTCTGGGGGCCAAAGAAAAACTAGGGAGCAGGAATCTTACCAGGAGGTGACTGCCATCCTGAGAGCGGCCGGAATAGAGCATCATGGTGGGAGTAAGACGGACGGAGGGCTGGAGGAGCACATGAGCCGTGAGCACTATCTCGCAAACACCCCACCGTATGAGCTCCGCCCCTTCCCTGGATACCCACTCCAGCTCGGACCCTGGGCCTTGTCCCCTCAGCTGCGCACCTTCTCAGCTGCTACGTCGATGGCCGATTGGTTGTAAAAGGAGGTGACAGTCTTGGAGCGTTCCCGGGCCATCTCCACTTGGTGTGTGTCAGTGGCTGAGGTGGAACGACCCCGTAGCAAGAGTGCGGGACCCAAGAGGGGCCGGAGTGGAGGCCCACCCCGGGGTGCGCTCCCCAGCACTGAAGCCAGTATCATTTTTATGATCCTTTGTCGGACTGGGCGACCACTAGAGCTGAGGATCAGACAGACGGAGGTGGCCCAAAAACGGGGTAAGGGTAGAAGGGGAGCTGGCAAGTATTCTTCTCTGACTTCAGGGGTGAGGGTAGGTCGAGGATGCTGAACAGCTCAGTCCCCGGGGAGCAGCTCCCATCTACCGGGGACCAAGAAACAGAAAGTTGTAAGGAACCAAGTCCAGGTGCCACCCCTCCACGAGGGCACTGGTTCCTCACACCTGGACAGCCTCTGCCTACCCTTTCAACCACATCCCTTAACACACAGACAAGCCTGGACAACCTTGCTTTCCAGAGCTGCTAGTCTTCAACGCAAGGTTCTGTCTGGCAGATGTCTGCAGGAAGGGGCGGATCCTCAGACCCCTCCAGCCCCAAAACCCATCCCTCTGGATCTGGGCACCCTAGTTCGGGGGCGGAGCTGACCCCTACCCTGCGCAATCAGACTCAAGCCGGGCAGCCTGGCCTACGTACGCGTGACACACAATACTGCGCCCGAGGGCACGCTGCATCAAGGCTGCAGTCTGGGAGTCTCTCTCTGGGTTCCCTCTCCGCAGGGTCACTTAGTTCTACCCGAGTTCTGACATATGGAAGATGCCAGCCTCCCACCCCCCGTCCGCGCGCACTCCCGCGAAAAGGTAGAAGCAGCGGCCTAGCACCGCAGTACCTCCGTGGGCCGGGCACGAGAGGGCTGTTCCACTTACCGCGGGGCCAGAGCCCGGGCTAGGGTCCGAGCGGAACCGCCCGAACTGTTGACCGGCCGGGGGAGCCAAGCCGCCTGCGCCCTCTGCCGCCTTGACGTCACGCGGATTGTAAGCGCCCGATGCCTCCTGGGAGTTGTAGTTTGGTATGGAGGGCTTGCTATACTGGAGCCTGCCCACCCTGACTACACTCCCGATCCTAAATTCCCAGATAGGTACCATAGTTGCTTTCACAGGACGCCTGGAGTTATCTGTGATCTCTCTAAGCATCTATCTTCTAATCTAGAAAACAATCTCCCCGGGATCAAAATGGGAGGGGTAAGAAAACCCTTATGCATAGCACACAGATAAATCCTGGATTCCTTCCTGGAGATTCTTGGTTAATTTGTGAGAAAGGTTGTTGATCCTAACAAACGCTCTAAATGTCCAATCTGTACTCATTTTAGCGAGAGTAAGGTTTTCTTTATTCGATTTTGCAAAATCAGGCGCCCAACCCAGTAGACAGGCGCAGAGGCATGGCCAGTTCGCAAAAAGTTTTATTCCCATTTTCCCTCCCCCATTTGACATATGGCTCACAATCTAGCACGGATTGTGCCCATAGCCTAATGACTGTATTCTTATTTAAAGTTCCTAGTTCTAGAAAAGATTTCTTTCTCCCCTTCCCTAATTCATCCTGCTCACCTATCCCTGTGTGTGAATCAACAACCTATGTTTAGTCTAGAAATCTCCTGGCCCCATTATTCCTGAAGATGGACCATCTTGAGAATTTCTCACAGTATGGAGCCACATTTCCTTTCCTAACTTGGGGGGGTAAGTGGGGTAGGTAGTCACCATCAGCATCAACAACCAAGGCAATATGCTATGAAATGGAGCTCAGACATGCTTCTATATGCAAACTTTTTTTTTTTTTTTTTTAACCAATTCTCACACCAGTTACCCCTCCCTGTAACACTTTATTTTTCTGCTGGATTCAATAATACGTTGCAATCCGTTATAACTCAAAGACCAGCCTCAGTTCTGGGGCTTATCAGGGAAATTGTTGTTAAGTGCCATCGAGTCGGTCCTGACCCATAGCAACCCCAACCCTGATTAGGGTTTTTGAGGAGTGGCTGGTGAGGTTGAACCACCGACCGTGTGGTTCAAACTGGCTTTTTAGTCCAGCGCATTAACCCACAGCACCACAGCAGGATTCCTATCAGGGAAATAACAGGTCATAATTCAGGATCAGAAACTACTCAATACGGTCATTCCATCAGGGCAGTCTTTTCTCAGCCATGCCCACAGGCAGGCCAATCTCTGGCCCTACCTTGCAGAATTGGGGTGGAGATGGGGGTGCAGAGGAAAGTACTTGTCCCCAGGCCTGACAAAGCTAGGGAATCACATCTCTCCCCCAACCCCCCTCACACACACACTAAGCCTTTGGCCCCTTTGCTTCTCAGTCTGGCCTCTGCCCTGCTCAGTTACAAAGATCTTTAACTCTGCTAATAAATGTTGTGGGGCACCCCTGCCACCAGTAAGATTGCCCCCCAGGTGTTCACTGCTCTCTCCGTGGGCCAGGAAGCCCACTGCTAAATATTCTGCATGCCTCCCTGTTCCGTTGCCACTCTTTCTGCTTCACACCGTCTCTAACCATGTCCAGTTTTAGTTTTCTTTCTCTGTCTCCTGAGTCTAGGAGATTCTCGGTGGACGGATCTTGGGTCTAAAGAATGCAGTTCACTCCTGGCTCTTCCTTTTTGGTGGAAGTGAGGTCTCCTTTTCCTGCCTCTGGAATGGTGCATTTTAAGCCTAGTAGGATGACAAAACTGACCAACCCTCTCCTTAGGGTTCCATATACTTCATTTGCATGACCCAACCCCCACAAGGGTGCCAGGCACTTATTTACATTATTAGCAAGCTCTACAACTCCCTTGGTGGGCCACAAACATAGGATAAGCACTGGACTACAAACCACAAGGTCACTACTTTGAGCCCATCAGCTGCTTCACAGAAGAAAGATGAGGCAAAAATTTACAGCCTCAGAAACCCTATACAGGGTCACTATGAGTCCAGACTGACTCCTCCGCACTTAACAACGAATGGGTGGGAGTTACAAGACCATGGCCCGAAAGCGCATATAAAAGTGATCCATTACATTGCAGTGGGACAGGTTAGTTAACTGCTCAACACTTTAATTTCTGTATTGGTAAAATAAAGATGTATTAACCTTGGGGTTGCTGTGTGGATTACATGAGTCTCTATATGCTAAATGTCTAGGACTGTGTAAGGTGTGGAATAAATCTTGTCACTGATATTAGGTACCATCCAGTTGGTTCCAACTCATAGCCAACCCATATAGAGTTTCTGAGGAGTAGTTGTTAGGTTGGAACTGCTGACTTTGCAGTTAGCAGTCCAGTGCTTATCCTACAGCACCACTCAGGACTCCATATAAATCATGGTGGTGGGTGTGGTTGTGTGCCACCAACTCAGTTCTACCTCATAATAACCTTGGAGAGGGTTTCCAAGGCTGTAAATCTTTACAGGAGTAGAATGCTTCCAGTTTGTTCTGTGGAGTGAGTGACTGGTAGATTTGAACTACAGACCTGTAGTTAGTTAGCAGCCCAGCTCCTGATCCACTATGCTACTAGATATCTTTATATAAACCTTCTTGTTGTTGTTAGGTGCCCTTGAGTTGGTTCTAACCCATAGCAACCCTATGTAAAACAAAACACCGCCTAGTTCTGCACCATACTCACAGTTGGTGCTGTGCTTGAGCCCATTGCTGCTGCCACTGTGCCAATCCACCAGCTGTGAGTCTCCCTCTTTTTCACTGCCCCTCCACTTTACCCAGCATGATTTCCTTCTCCAAGAACTGGTTCCTTTTGACAATATGTCCAAAGTATGAGAGACGAAGTCTTGCCATCCATAAGTCAAATGCATCAATTCTTCTACAGTCTTCCTTATTTATTGTCCCACTTTCACATGAATATAAGGCTATTGAAAATACCATGGCTTGGGTCAGGTGCACTTTAGTCCTCAAATTGACATCTTTGCTCTTGAACACTTTAAACAGGACTTGTGAAGCAGATTTGCCTAATGTACTACGTCATTTACTTTGTTGACTGCTGCTTCCATGAGTGTTGATGGTGGATCCAACCAAAGTGAAGTCTTTGACAACTTTTATATTTTCTCCATTTATATGGATGTTATTTATTGGTATAGTTGTGAGGATTTTTGTTTCCTTTACATTAAGATGCAACCCATACCGAAGGCTGTGATATTTGATCTTTATCAGTAAATATTTTAAGTTCTCTCCCTTTTCAGCAAGCAAGGTTGCATATCACTGATTTTTAATGAGTATTTCTCCAATCCTGATGCCACATTTTTCTTCATATAATACAGCTTCTCAGGTTATTTTCTCAGTATACAGATTGAATAAGTATGGTGAAAAAATACAACCCTGGCACACATCTTTCCTGATTTTAAACCATTCATTGTTCTCTTGTTCAGTTCGAATAACTGTCTCTTGGTCTATGTACAGGTTCCTCATGAGCACAATTAAGTGTTCTGGAATACTCATTCTCCTCCATGTTGTCCATAACTTGTCATGATCCACACAATCGAAAGCCTTTGCATAGTCAATAAAGACAGGTAAATATCTTTCTGGTATTTTCTCTTTCAGCCAGGAGCCATCTAATATCATCAATTCCTGGAGCCTTGTTCTTTGCCAGTGCCTTCAGTGCACGTTGTAGTTCTTCCTTCAGTACCATTGGCTCTTGATTATATGGTACTTCTTGAAATGGTTGAACATCAACCTTTTATTTATTTATTTTTCAATGTTTTATTGTGAATTGAGTGAAGGTTAACAAAGACCATCAGCTCTACTTTCAACCAATCATATGTTTTGTTTCATCCCAATGATTGCAATCCCCTCCCTACAACAACAGTTATCCTGCTTCCTCCCTGTGACTTCCCTTTTACATCTTATTTTTCACAAATCAACAAAGCAAAAATATTTGATGTACACATACAAAACAAAAAACATATATTCATTTTCATATCCAAACGGCACATTTTGCAAGCCATCCTCTTTCCAGAAGGCACACAGCCTTTCTCGGTCCATGGGCCTAGAGTCTGCAGCCGTTCTACCTCTCCATGCCGTCTCTGCTTTTCTAGGTAGGATCCCATGCTCCACTCATGCTCTTCCTTCTTGATGTTCCTGGGATCCTCTGTTTCTGAAATGAAAGAATAACGACTCCCCGCTTCTGGTTATAAATCTTCCATAATTAAG